AGTGGTAAACGTCTTGGACCTGTATCACTTCGGGCTTTCCTCCAAAATTAAGCTGACACGCCGCAATATAACTGGAATGCTGTTAAAAGGGGCGTAAACCCATCTCACTCTCTGTAACACAGAGATGATTCTCTCTTATCCTCCGTTCTATGAGCTGTCATAAACACTACATGATCATCGTAAACTTTCAAACGCATAATGACTATCTAATACACACCTATTTTTAAGGATCAGACGGTCCCCTCGCCCAATTACTATTAAGAATGCTTCTTAGAACCTTGTCTTCCCCGCGAGTTAATCAGGTGTTCACCATCCTCTTCAGTTATGGAAACGTCCATGTGAACCCTGCACTACTGTCTGTCTAACGAGGCAGGCGCAGAGATGATAAAAGTTACCCCAAAGGATAAATCAGGAATTACTGTGGAAATGATTTCCCGTCAGACTTTGACCGCTATTATTTCAAACTGTCAGAGCAACACATGGGATGCTCCGGGGCATCATAACCAATTCTGACGAGTGTTTGATAAAACAATAACAGCGTCATTTCGAAAGGTCAAGCTTGTAAACTCTGTTATTTAAGAGTAGGTTTTATCTCCTATTCACTAAGGTATTTTTCAGGCTTCTATGAGACTACTTACTATTTGATTCACAGGCTACAATTTATCAGCTTTGTGTCTGACGGATGTGCAAAGAGACACATGCGGGTGAAGTTTTCTCCTGAGATGAACACAACGAACACTGGCATAGTTCTGACAGATCAATGATTAAAATCGGAGAAATGGAACTAACCACTAGCAGTAAAGGGGCGCAACTCTTCCCTGAAAATAGTGATGCCTTAGAACTATGGTTTCCCGTGTCGCCTTTGTCACAGAAATCGATGGTTGTTAATGAATTGTGTAACAACAGCGTGTGATCCCATCCTTTAGACAGGACATATAAGGTTTCATTGAGATCACTTCATGGTAAATTACTTCCGTTTAATATCAAAGAGCATTGTTGATTGCACACAACAAACTCTAGTTTGAGGATTTGTGTTTACAAAAATGAGTTTGTGTGTGTGTGAACATTGCAAAAACAGTTTGCCAACTAGTTTGTGTCCGTTATATAGCTGCAATATAGCTGAGTGTGGCGTTTAAGAACGAACAAACAAATTTACTTTTGCATTTAAATTTGGGATTCAACATGTAAAAATGCACCTACAAAAGAGTTGACTTAATTGTAATACATATTAATGCTAATGTATGTGATAAAGAGGTATTGTTAGTAATAGAATATACATTGCGAGTAGCAACTATTCATACACATGTTTTTGTCAAATTTCTTTTCCAATCCGGTACAGTACAAATGTTACCTGAAATTTCAGTCGTGGATTGGCAAAACAACACCAGCAGTTTCTTGTGAAAGTTACTTTACTCATAGTAAACCACAGGTAAAGTAAATGGCCAGGTTGTCGCAGTGAATGTTTCAGTCGAAGTCGGTGGTATTAATGAGTCCTGCTCACATTTTGCCATAATTTTGTTATGAAAAATTAAATGTATACTGGGAGAGGGATGGTTATGGTAGACATTACATGAGCATCTATACACCTGATCTATGACATCTTCTTATTTCACCGACTTAATAAAATACCAGTACCATGATCGACACAATGAGGGAATATAACCAATGACGCACTATAAACTTCCTTCGGATTTTAGGAACTCTTCTGTTGCTCCTGGACCAAATTAGTAAGTAGTCGCAGTGAGCGTAGTAACCATTGCTTGAACATCATTCCGTCTTGCAACTCATTCTGTGAGACATATTTGGTGAATATTTTACTTATGCAAATAAGTGTGGCCAGAATTCACTCAAACCATTTCAATGAACAAAAAACCTGCCATTTTATTCACCAGTTTCTCCAAAAAAGACTGAAAGCATAGTACTCTCTTTCATTGTACTGACAGACAGTGGTTCCTAATTTTGCTTCCATCAAATGTCTAGTCAATAAGTGGGTGTTTTCCATTGAATGTTATCAGACACTCAAAGCCATGTTTTCACCTCTTTCGCACGGAGTAATTACCTCCGAGTTTCGCATGTTAGTTCCAAGCACGTTTGGAGAGCCATTTCAGATTAATGGAGCATCACTTCGGAGAACTGAGCTATTGAAGGATAAACAGATGATAGCCATGTCTGGGAAAACAACGAGATTATTATTTGCTTTATTGTATATGTGCTCAGGGCACAGTCGCACGAATTCATGCTTCGATAACCAATGCTGGTGTAATGTGATTGTCTTGACACACAGGTCCATAGCTGTCAAAGATGATTCGCAAACAAATTTCTCAGCCATTCGCGATTTGCTTAATGAATGTAAAATGTGAGTATTTGAATTCTTGTCTGAAATTCATTACCACACGGAAACCCCTCAAGTGTTGTTATTAAAATTTAGTAAATTAATAATGGAGTGGAAACTATATTTGTTTGTTTGGCAATATACCAGCTAATTGCATCCAGCCTCTAAATAATCGACGAAACATCATGATGTGGAAATTAACGGAAGGAGTATTTCAATCGTATAAAGATATCATCCTTGGTTTTTGTCTGTGATTGGTCATTCTCAGGGCAATAGTTATGAAATTTAATATTTGCCTTCAGCAACAGATAACCTATTGAGAACGGACCACACTACGATTGCTAAGTTGGTAGCTACTTCCTGCTTACAAAGACATGTCAGTAAACTGTGAAAAAACCCGTGTGTGTTGTTATCGGTTGTGTGAAGAAGGCTACAACAGCTTGATGTGTCAAATGTCTTGAGGCCTGTTTGCCGTACCGATGTTGAATGCACTTGTTTCATCGATTATTCCACTGTGGGATGCTGAGCCTCTGAGGGACATATTCGTTTAACTTTTTAATACAAGATGCATGGACTGAACTTCTCGTACGATACATGGTAGGCTTTTTAAGCGTTTTTTTTTTTTTTTTTCGAGAACAGCTGTCGGAAATGCTTTAAAAGTTTACTTCCGAACTCCGACCATACCGTCAACACTATCGATCTAATAACAGCATTACAGCTCGGCATTAAGCGGTTTAAACAAGGACTGGTCGGCTCGGAGTCAGTATACTGTGTCTGAGTGGGGTATTTATGTTAAACTGTGGCATGGTATCTCATTTGGCTAGCACTATAAATCGGCATCAGCCGGACTAGTACAAGCAGCATGGAGTAACATGGAGCTGTGTGATGAATGTACCTGATTACCAAGATGAAGTGAGTTTGTTTTTACAGAAAACGTTTAAAATAATATAACACATGTAAAAATTATACTGACATCAGTGTTGTATTACAATCACATAGACGTGATATAAAGACATAGAATGGTACAATTTACTCCCTCAATATGTCAAATATTTAAAGATACTCCAAACAAATACAGAAACAAAATGTCAAATATCTCGTGTTTTACAACCGGTGTCACTTTGTACAAATACAATCATTCAACAGATACACATTCTGCTTGTTTGATTTATTTTTCAAAACTGAACATCACTCAAAATATCAAACTAATAGTTCTTGTCAAGAACACGATTCAGTCAAGTAACGTTTCGTGTACAACAATAAATACCCGCACACGGAAATAGATTATGAAGACGTGAAAGTAAAAGTATGGTTGTATTTACTCCTTAATTTCTTTAACACAAACCTGTTTTTGAGAACGTTGAATAATGATATGTGTCTTCTTACAAATTCTAGAAATATGCATCTGCCGCCTGAACGTATCTTTAAATCATATGACTACATGACGATACAATGCATGGTATATGAGTGTGATTAAATTATTTTGTGAAATGCCATGATAATTGTCAGTGACGCATCACTTCTAAAGCTGATCCGGGGTAACATCGGTCTTCAGCAATCCATACTTGCCGTAAAAGGCGACTATTCTTGTCGTAAGAGGCGACTAACGGGATCGGGTGGCCAGGCTAGCGCTCACTAACTTGTTTGATGCATACACAATACCAGCAGTGTCTGATGACAGTTACTTTTCAGAAAGTAAACAACAGGCAACGAAAATAGCCACGTCGACTTATGGTAGACACTGCTGACATTTAGCTGAATATCTGACGAAATACCTTTATGTTTATTTTCATGAAAATTAAAGGTCTACTAGTTGTCTTCCACACAGAGGGAAAAAATTGGCAGGTTTAACAAATATTCTTGGGTCATACGGTGACCTTCATCTCTGATGGTTCTGGAAGACATTACATGCTTATCCATTTTAGGGCACCTGTTCTCTGACACTTTGTGACATTCTATAGACTTAATGAAACACGTTTTAATGCATATATGTGTGTGTGTGTGTGTGTGTGTGTGTGTGTGTGTGTGTGTGTGTGTGTGTGTGTGTGTGTGAGTGATTGGATACACTTGTTCGGTTTCGTGACTTAATTCTTTGCGTGTCATTCAACAGTGTGTCTCTGAACAGTACTTTTGCGGCAAGGCATGGCAACGAAATCCCGAAGTCATACATGTGTTAAATGCTAACCACTTTTTGTGAATCTAGAAGGAGTTCGTCCTGGCCAATGCACCCCTGAAAACCTGCTATAATAACTTACTGGTTTACTTCAACAAAGAAAAATAATATAAAAGTGACACTTGAAACGATCGTGATTTGTTTATTTTTGAAAGGGCTACTTGTTGCGGACAAGACTATTCACAAGGATTCGCTGAAACCAATTCAATGTAAGAATGAAACGCTGCAAATCTCTTCACCTACTTCCCCAATAGAGAAGAAACGCAAAGAACTCTCTCACATCCATACATTGCACTGACAGATCTACCTTCCTAACTGGATTTCGATCATGTGACAAGCTGGATGTAGAAGATAGAAAGTCCAACGTAGAAAATAGAAAGTCCAACGAAGAAGATGGGAAGTCCAACGTAGAAGATAGAAAGTCCAACATAGAAGATAGAAAGTCCAACGTAGAAGAAAGAAAGTCCTAAGTAGAAGATAGAAAGTCCAACGTAGAAGAAAGAAAGTCCAACGTAGAAGATAGAGAGTGCTACGTAGAAGATAGAAATTCCTACATAGAAGATGGAAATTCCAACGTAGAAGATAGTAAGTCCTACGTAGAAGATGGAAAGTCCAACATAGAAGATAGAAAGTCCTACGTAGAAGATGGAAAGTCCAACGTAGAAGATAGAGAGTGCTACGTAGAAGATAGAAAGTCCTGCGTAGAAGATGGAAAGTCCAACGTAGAAGAAAGAAAGTCCTACGTAGAAGATGGAAAGTCCAACGTAGAAGATAGAAAGTCCTACGTAGAAGATGGAAAGTCCAACGTAGAAGATAGAAAGTCATACAAGAACTGGCCGCCTCATAGTCAATATAATGTGTCTGGGTGAGGTAAAAAAAAAACGGGCATAATTTTACATTGAACAACCATGCCTTATTCAACATCAGGTCTGTAATTTGTAACAAATCAAACAAGGTGATCAGTCTGTGACAATCAGATTATATGATAAAAAAAAATTTAAGTTTCACCATGCACAAATACATTAACCGAATGCGCAGTGGGTGTGACACAGCTAACATATTGTGTCTCATTGTATCCTGCTTGCACAGTTTGTTCATGTTTACATCATTCATGCAGCTGAATATCATTGAATGTGGAAACAGTCACTCACGAATAAGTGACAGAGCTGTGACAGTGAAACAGTTGAGGCAGAAAACAATACTCACTCACACATGGTATTTAACATACCTCACAATTGAAACATGCTATATCGTGACACGTCACAAGTTAGTCAAACAGTCAGTCAGCTGAACTAAAAAGAGGGAGTGAGCAGTTACCGTTGTTTCTAACACTTTTTCAGTGGATTTTATGATTGGACAAAAGTAAAAGAAATTCATGCCAGTATTTACCAAACGGAAAAAAGTGATGACAATCAATAACACCAAACATGATACACGTCGTGAGGGATTCGGCTCTCTTGAATTTTCAAAATTCATATTGACCAATAAATTTAATACAGATGAATTCTTCGGAGCCTCCTGTAATCGCTGTTTGATTGCATGATTTGAACCCCTGAACTTAAGAATTTATTACTTTAAAAGTTGTCACCGCATGGGGAAAACAGTGTGTCTTTTGAAGACAGTAAACATTGTTTTTGCGCAATAGGAGCGCAATATGATACTTGTCAAATACGTGTACAGTCACATACATGTATGTATACTAAAACGATGAATCCGGCACGAAATACAATCGAAACTGAGGTTCAAAATTTGGCACCACGTGAACTTTACTCGACCTTGTGAAGACAGGTAACTTGCACATTGAGTTCTTTGTGATAGGATACTTGTCAAATAAGGAAACAGTCACATATGCTATCTTCAACTTTACCTCATTAAAACGATGAATCCAGCTGGAAACAGTCACACATCGGCTCGAAATACACTCACACAGACGGATATAAAGGACAAATTGGAGTTTTATGCTAGGTAATTCCCGCTTCATCCAATTAGTTGGATTTATCGAATTCTTCAACTTCGTTAAATGAAGCTACTAGAAGTTTTCCAATTATTACAGCAGGATATGTTTGTACTTGGTTGGACTTTATTACTCAACTGTCATTGGATGCAGATCTTGCAAGCTTGCAGTGTATGAAGCAATCAAACCACATTTGTTTCAGTCTGGAATGTTATAACGTGCACTACGTTATCAGTGTGTGAATTGACTTTAATACTGCTATCCATTGTATTTCAGTTGAATAGTGGCGTCAGATTATGTTTGAAGGGCCATGTTTACACATTTGTGTAGCATCACCCGGGTTTTGAACTCTGTTTTAATGAGAAAATAATATGAATATCCGTGGGAATTGGTAGTTTTAATTATATACCCTTAAGGTCAAGGTGATTGCTATATTTGGCTCAAGATTGATTATTTACACACTGCAATAATATACCGGGAATATTTGTTTTTCAAGTTGACTTACGCTTACACAAGGGAAAATAATATGAATATCCATGGGAAAACACATAATAATCATCGATTCAATCTTAATTAAAACGTTTCATACAATCAGATTACAGCATACATTTCCGGGCAATCAGACTCGATGATTTGGTTGACTGTCTCATTGTAAGTTGGCATCGTGGATCATCGCTCACTGGTTTGTATGGTCCAGACTTGATTATTTACAGGCCGCTGTCAGAAAGATGAAATATTGCTGAGTACGGCATTAAACAATACATATAAAGATGGCTAAGTGTTCAACACCTACACCTCATATTTAGTCGGAGCTTTCTGTCAGATGTTCGAGGAAAATCCTCAGTGTTTCTTCTCATCAGAAAAGCTTCTCCTACATCTTACAGTGATGATGTAGATTGAAAACATCGCTCTGACAAAACACAGCTTTCACTTCACAGAGTGATTACCTTTTTTGACTAGTTTGCAAAAGAGTTTGCTCAATGAAAGCACAATAAGTCATGGCAGACTAAGAGCTGTAGAGAGTGACTTTATTATACATCTGGTTTGCATATTTACGAGGAGATTATCTTGTGAAGGATTGATAAATGGAGAGTCAGCCGTCAAGAGTATCAAGAAAAAGTACCAGGACGGGGCAGACACCTTTAAGCTCTGGACCTTCCTGCCATGACAAACTCAGCAAATCATAACTTCTCCTTTTCCAAATTTGGTATACATGTTGATGGAATGAAAAGAGAGTTCGCCTACAAAACAGGACCCGATATCCATAAACATTGTTTATAACTTGGATGTGATAATGATAATGTGTAAATGCCATAACTTGCTATAGGGCTGCAATCATTCCAATGTGGCCTTAAACTAGAGAATAGGTCTTCATTAACCCATGCTCGCCGTAAGAGGCAAATAACGGTATCGAGTGGTCGAGCTCGCTGACTTGGCTCATGCATGTCATCGTATCCCAATTGCTTACATCGATGCTATCATTGGATTGACTGGTCTAGACTAGATGATTTACAGACCGCTATCGTGTATCTTGAAAATTGCCAAGTGCGGCGTTAAGAAAGCTTCACACAGGAAATTCATGTTTGACGATTTGTGTTTACAAACATGAGTTTCTGTGTGTGAACATTGGTAAAACAGTTTGCCAACTAGTTTGTTCCCGTTATATAGCTGGAATATTGCTGATTTTGGCGTTTGAGACCGAACAGAAAAAATACTTTCGCATTTTAATTTTGGATTCAACACGAAATAATGCATTTTCAAAACAGTTGACTTTATTGTTAGGCACTTTGTTGCCGATGTATGTGATAAAGAGGTATCGTTAGTAATAGAATATACATCGCGAGTAGCAACTATTCATACAGATGTTTTGTCAAATTCCTCTTCCAATCAGGTACAGTACAAATGTTACTTGAAATTTCAGTCGTGGATTGGCAAAACAACACCAGCAGTTTCTTGTAAAAAGTTACTTTACTCATAGTAAACCACAGGTAAAGTAAATGGCCATGTTGTCGCAGTGAATGTTTCAGTCGAAGTCGGGGATGTTAATGAGTCCTGCTCACATTTTCCATGTTTTTGTTATGAAAAAATAAATGTATACTGGGAGAGGGATGGTTATGGTAGACATTACATGAGCATCTATGCACCTGACCTATCATATTTTCACATTTCGAAGACTTAATAGAATACACGTACCATGATCGACACAATGAGGGAATATGACCAATGACTCACCATATCCCGATAGGGAAACCAACCATACCGGTGCTCGTTGGTTTCACCAAAGTGGTTAACGTCCTGGACCTGCATCACTCCGGACTTTCTTCCACAGTACACTGACATGCCGTGATATAACTGGAATACTGTCAACATCATCAGTTGTAAACCCAACTCCCTCACTCGACAGGAAAACCCAAGTACGAACCAATAAACTTTCTTCGGATTTTAGGAACTCTTCTGTTTCGCCCTGGACCAAATTGGTAAGTAGTCGCAGTGAGCAAAGTAAACATTGCTTGAACATCATTCCGTCTTACCACTCATTCGGTGAGACATATTTGGTGAATATTTTACTTATGCAAATAAGTGTGGCCAGAATTCACTCAAACCATTTCAATGAACAAAAAACCTGCCATTTTATTTACCAGTTTCTCCAAAAAAGACTGTAAGCATAGTACTCTCTTTCATTGTACTGGCAGACAGTGGTTCCTAATTTGGCTTCCATCAAATGTCTAGTCAATAACTTGGTGTTTTCCATTGAATGTTATCAGACACTCAAAGCCATGTTTTCACCTCTTTCGCACGGAGTAATTACCTCCGAGTTTCGCATGTTAGTTCCAAGCACGTTTGGAGAGCCATTTCAGATTAATGGAGCATCACTTCGGAGAACTGAGCTATTGAAGGATAAACAGATGATAGCCATGTCTGGGAAAACAACGAGATTATTATTTGCTTTATTGTATATGTACTCAGGGCACAGTCGCACGAATTCATGCTTCGATAACCAATGCTGGTGTAATGTGATTGTCTTGACACACAGGTCCATAGCTGTCAAAGATGATTCGCAAACAAATTTCTCAGCCTCTCGCGATTTGCTTAATGAATGTAAAGTGTGAGTATTTGAATTCTTGTCTGAAAATGCATTACCACACGGAAACCACTTAAGGGTTGTTATTAAAATTGACGAAATTAATAATAGAGTGGAAACTATTTTTGTTTCTTTGGCAATATACCAGCTAATTGCATCCAGCCTCAAAATAATCGTTGAAACATCATGGTGGGTATATTAACGGAAGGAGTATTTCAATCGTACAAAGAAATCATACTCTGTCTGTGTCTGTGATTGGTCATTCTCTGGGCAATAGTAATGAAATTTAATATTTGCTTTCAGCAACAGTTAACCTAGTGAGAACGAACCACACTTCTATTGCTAAGTTGGTAGCTACTTCTTGCTTACAAAGACATGTCAGTAAACTGTGAAAAAACTCGTTTGTGTTGTTATCGATTGTGTGAAGAAGGCTACAACAGCTTGATGTGTCAAATGTCTTGAGGCCTGTTTGCCGTACCAATGTTGAATGCACCTGTTTCATCGATTATTCCACTGTGGGATGCTGAGCCTCTGAGGGACATATTCGTTTAGCTTTTTAATACAAGATGCATGGACTGAACTTCTAATACGATACATGGTAAGCTTTTCAACTTTTTAAGGGAGGAACAGCTGTCGGAAATGCTTTAAAAGTTTACTTCCGAACTCCGACCATACCGTCAACACTATCGATCTAATTACAGCATTACAGCTCGGCATTAAGGGGCTAAAACAAGGACTGGTCGGTTCGAGGTCAGTATATTGTTTCTGAGTGGGGTATTCATGTTAAACTGCGGCATGGTATCTCAGTGGGCTAGCACTAAAAAACGGCTTCA